TGCATTTCATGTAAAAAAAATCCCCAAATTTCCTCAAAGTACTGGGTATTTGGACTTTATTTTTGTGTGTCTGATTGATGTTGACATACATTTAGGTTATGAAAGGAGAGATGTGTACAGTAAATTAAATGGCAAGGATCCCACTCCCCCACCCTCCACTCCCCCACCCTCTCAATATGAGATGGTCTCTGGCACAACAGAGGAGGATAGAAAGTCAGTACCAGAAACTGATAAGTCAGGGCGTAAGTAGAAAAAATCAGGATAATTCACTGAAGATATTGCAGTCACCACATACATGTATAAATATCTCTCTGGGTTTTTAGTTCATGACAAGTTTTTTTTTATGCACCCGGATCAACAGATCCGGGGCGTATATTGTTTTTGTCCTGTCTGTCTGTTTGTTTGTTTGTTTGTTTGCAAACTTTAACCTTCGCCATAACTTTTGAACCATGAAAGATAGAGACTTCATATTTTGTATGCATACCCCACTAATTAAGCTCTTTCAAATGACACCAAGGTCAATGACGTTGTGACCTTGACTGTGGCCTATATGCTAAAAATAGCTTTTTTCTGCAAACTTTAACCTTTGCCATAACTTTTGAAACCCTGAAAGATAGAGACTTCACATTTGGTATGCATACTTCACTAATCCAGTTCCTTCAAATCACACCAAGGTCAATGACCTTGTGACCTTGACTGTGACCTTTATGCTAACAATAGCTTTTTTCGATTTTTGTTGCCGCCGGGCACATAGTGTTTCACAAACACATCTTGTTTTAATCATTTCACACAATTTGTGGAATTTATTTTTATATGTTTGGTGTCAGGTATTAATAATATTGAAGTGAATGCCAGAGACTGCTCAGAAGGGGCGCGACTGCATCCTAATAATATTATTATATTTGCTTTGGCATGTAACAAATATATATTGCTTTTTAGTGCATAGTATTTCCCATAGTTTGATCATTCATCATCATCATTAAATCATTTCATTTCATCTTTCCAGATTTTCCTTATGATGACTTGTGTTGGTCTTAGCGAGTTGTGATTACCATATGGACTAGCTGTGTTTAAGTTCAGTTTTATGGAAAATGCTTATAAAATTGATCAATAAATTTGTTTTGGAGAATTTACCATTTGTATTTTTTTTAATTTTATTATAAGTTTGTTTTTAAAAGATCATCCTTGATTGTTTGCATGGTAAAAATATTACAGTAAAATTCGGTTATAACGAAGTCACTGGGACATGGAAAATTACTTTGCTTTATCCGTAATTTGTTATATCCATATAAGGAATTTTTTAAATTTATACAGATTGGGATCCAATTAATAAATTTGCTATATATACGTGAATTCGCTATATCTGTATTTGTACTAACCGAGTTTTGCTATACTTTAAATGGTACATTTTTAATCATAATCATTCATATTCATCTATTGATGTCAAATCAGAGTATCTTTGTATTTCAAAGTGATGACATAGTTGATACACATATAACTTTGTGACATATGCTATATCATGCAATATTATAACGGTAGTTAAACATGTAGTTATTTGTGTAATTTTACAATAAAATGCATGTGGTGATCCCATGTTTATACCTGTGTGACATAAGTAGCAAAGTTTTGAGAAAAACCAAAGGGAGAGTGTCTACCCACTTTTAAAAGATATAATAGCTTCATTAAAATTTCCAATCAATTACATACGTTAATTCAAATTAATTGTAAACTTTGCATCAGCAGTGACAGAAGAGGACATTTCCAGGGAGCATTTTGACATCAATCAGGCAGAAAGAGAACTACGCAGACAGATACTGAACGAACAGATGAGGAGGGAGAAGGCAGCCAGCATGGAGAGGGATCGGATAGAGCAGGAAAAGAGGGAGAAAGTCAGGTGAGGGCAGGGTGGGGGAGAGAAAGGGGGAGGGGCATGGAGAGGGAATGGATAGAAGAGGTCAGGTGAGAGCAGTGAGGGGGAGAGGAAGGGGGGGGGAATAGATAGAAGAGGTTGAAAGTCAGGTGTGAGCAGGGAGGGGAGAGGCAGGGGGAATGGAGAGGGAATGGAGAGAAGAGGTAGAAAGTCAGCTGTGAGCAGGGAAGGGAGGGGAGAGAAAGGGGGGAATGGAGAGGGAATGGATAGAAGAGGAGAAGAGGTAGAAAGTCAGGTGAGGGGTGGGGGAGGGGAAGAGGAAATGGATAGAAAAGCTCTCTTGAACCTTCAGCTTACATGAGCTAAAAAGTGAGAATGGGAGAAAGAAAAGTGTAAGTAGACTAGAAAAAATATCAAGAGGTATAGATTAAAATGCCAGTAAAATATAGGAATTGAGTTGAGAAAAGATAGGAATATAATGTTGAGGAACTGGTAAAAGGGGGCACAATATAGAACAATATAGAGAGGGAAAGATAGAGAGGGGTGGAACAAAGGATGATAGAAAAGGGATAGGAAGAAGTGTGGACAGAGAGAAAGGGTCTCGTTATGTCAAAAAAGGAGAGAAAACTAGAAATAAAAAGAAAGGATAAGGGCAACATGGAGGGATGATAGAGGAGGTGACCTGAAAGGGGGGGGGGGGGGAATGAGGAAAGAAATTTATGTGTTACTCTTATAAACTACTACATATAGTTGATTGATCATATAGTAACGTCAATGTGGAAATATTGAGAAAGTAATCTGATTATTAGATACATGAACATTTATTAGCATTAAAATTTGAAATGGACTTTGTTTGTCACTTAGGCAAGAAAAAGAAAGGAAAAGACTTGAAAAACTGGAAAGGCAGATTGAAATGCAAATACAGATCGAACATGAGAGAGAAATTCAAAGGAAAAAAATGGTCGAGGAAAAAAGGGTGCAGTATAATTAGTTTTTAGAATGTACTCTAAAATATTGAATTGTATCAACTTATCTACTTTAGTAAACTGAGTGGTAAAAGTATATGGTTCTGTTTTCAGGTTACTCAGAGAGAACAGGAGAGACAGAGACTGCTGGAGTGGGAGAGGAGGAAGACACAGCTCTTATCAGAGATGTCCACCGAGACGGAGCAGCCAGGGGACATAACTACCTCAGGGAAAAAGCTGTGAATGGAATCTCAGGTACTATATAGGTACTTATCTACCTCAGAGAAAAAGCTGTAGCTGTGAATGGAATCTCAGGTACTCCATAGGTACTTATCTACCTCAGGGAAAAAGCTGTGAATGGAATCTCAGGTACTATATAGGTACTTATCTACCTCAGGGCAAAAGCTGTGAATGGAATCTCAGGTACTACATAGGTATTTATCTACCTCAGGGAAAAAGCTATAACTGTGAATGGAATCTCAGGTACTCCATAGGTATTTATCTACCTCAGGGAAAAAGCTATAACTGTGAATGGAATCTCAGGTACTACATAGGTATTTATCTACCTCAGGGAAAAAGCTGTGAATGGAATCTCAGGTACTACATAGGTATTTATCTACCTCAGGGAAAAAGCTATAACTGTGAATGGAATCTCAGGTACTACATAGGTATTTAACTACCTCAAGGAAAAAGCTATAACTGTGAATGGAATCTCAGGTACTCCATAGGTATTTATCTACCTCAGGGAAAAAGCTATAACTGTGAATGGAATCTCAGGTACTACATAGGTATACTGTATTTATCTACCTAAGGGTTAGAAGACTTACCGACCTCAGGGTAGAAGTCATGGCAATGACTGCATAAAGGAGAGGACGTTCAAAGTTTTATGAACTGTGTCCAGTCCTTTTGTTGTAAGATCTAAACAATAAAATATGTTCAAATCAAATCAAATCAATGCATTCTTATTTATAACATAGATTATAGAGACTTAGCCGATTATGTACCTCCCTATCCCTCAGAGCACTTTATAGGAAGAGAATATTATTGCTTGACTCAAAGCAAGTATAATCAACATTAGGCCAGGGAGTAAAATAGAGAAGTCAGAATACACATTATTTGCATTCAATGTCTATGATTTTTTTTTAAATGTATAAATATTCTATAGAAGGTTATTTTGTTGCAGCTAAAGCATATATAGAGCCTCTTCATACTGATTGGGAGCATTCTTGAATGAACTTGACTTCCTTAAATGGCCTCCTAATGGATTAGGACTTGTGCGGAGGACCTTCAAAGAAATACAATATAGACAATGTTTATATACATGTGAAGGATTGTGACAACATTTATCAACCTCTAATGGATGTATCCTGGTGATACACAGATATCAGTATTGCATTGGGTTGTGACAATATGGTCGCTAGTAATGGATGCATGGTCATTGATTGAAAAGATTTTATGATTTTGTGACATTTAAAATGTTTTCTTTGATATATAAGTACTAATTAAACTCTGCATCAATTATTCCATTTAATTATAAACTGATAGATTCTGTATATAGCCTGACTGATGGATTGGACTTGACTGCATGACTTCAACATTGGTTCTTCTGTGAATCTACTAGACATTGTATTGATCCATTTTAGCTGACATTCAGCTACAGGTGTACTGTGAAATCACTAATTTTCGTCAAGGTCAGAAGGTCAGATTTGTTGTTATCCAAAGGAAGGTCCTGTCATAAAGAATAAACTTGTGAAATATGAAAGCCCTAGTTCTAACTATTCAAAAGTTATCGCCAAGGTTAAAGTTTTGTAAAAGTGGGTCAAACTCTAAGGTCAAAAGGTCAAAAATATTTTTACCCTCTGAAATTACTACACATGTGAAGTATGAAATCCCTGGCACCAACTGTTCAAAAGTTGAAGTCAAGGTTAAAGTTTGGTAATTTTGTTTGTATGTTGGTCAACTCCAAGGTCAAGAGGTCTTTGGTGGTACCCCCAAAAAGGTCTTGTCACAAGGAATACACCAGTCCTGTGAAATATGAAAGCTATAGCCCCTACAACTCAAAAGTTTTTAGCAAGGTTAGAGTTTTTTCTGACAATCACACAGACAACAGGGCAAAAACTATATACCCAGGAATCTTTATTATGGAGCATAATAACTAGTAAAATCTTATTTTATGAGATGTTTACCAAATTTATTAGCAAATGAAAATGAATAGCTCTCTCTCTCTCTCTCTCTCTCTCTCTCTCTCTCTCTCTCTCTCTCTCAGTAGTGGAAAAATCCTTGCATGGAAATTAAGTTCATATACCAGTATTGATTTTATTTTTTAAAAAAATAATTGAATGTAATTCAACGTTAATTTTTCTGGTCCCTTTAAATTGATATGTAAATTTAGAATAAAATGTTTATGGAAAACATTCAAAGATTATAGTCATATTGGGTAGTCATAATACTCTTTCAATTTAACAACAAACAGAAACACTTGGGACGTCATACAAACATCAACTTAAGTCGGTGAAGTGGGAATTAATAATATAATCCTCTAGATGTACGTTAGTTGTCATGTTTAATTGCCATAAGATACAAGATCATTTGTATTAAAGACAAGCAATTGTGTTCCTACAGCAGTTGCACATGTATGCATGTTTACATTTTCAGAAAATTTGATTTCCTTTAAGTTTGTTGTAGAAAGTGTTTATTTCCTGTGAACAAGGGAGAAATCATATATTGTTTATTTTAAGAAAATGTTTTCTTTTAAAACATATAATCAACTTTCTGAAAATTAGGGGAGGATAAAAATATTACATAATAAAATTGTCGAAATGTTGCTTATATGAATACATTGAATCATGCAGTAATTGTCATATGAAGATATGTGTGTTGTCCTATGATTGTCAATAGTAATGTTAAACAAGTCACATAATTCACATTCATGTGTCTAAATTTGTAAACTTATTTGAAAGTATCTTTATTTATTGAAATATTTTAAATTTTAATGTCACTCTCTGTCACACATCTATAACCAGTTAGATTTGGCTATAAGTTATGAATACTGATTCCTGGACTAAATCCGTTGTTGAATGTAAACGGGGAAGAAGGAATGTTGGCGGGTATAACAAGGTAGTGGCGCTGTGGGCCGGCCTTTATAAAACGTAAAGGGTAAAGGTGCCGTATTCCTTATGGTCTTCCGATATATAAAGTCCAAGAATTGGTAAATCAGGTTTCCGAATTTATTAAAGACGATGGTAAATAACAAACATGAATTTTAACAATATCTTACAAGACTTAATCGAGTTGGATGTGGCCGGTAGAGCGTCGGACCTCCAAACTGTAGAGAGTAAAATGGACATAGATATTTGTAAGACTAAGATTAAACAATAATTGACTTTTGACACTAGTTGAGTTAATTGATGGACAGGTGTGTTTCTTTGATAGAATGAACATGAAAGAGGTCATAAAGTAATTATACAAATAAAGTCATTGGTAAAGGATTAACAAATCCGGAGGCATTAACACCTAACGAGCAACAGTTATTTTGACAGAGTCACAGAGTGTCAATTGGAATGTCTTAATCCTATTTCAAAGGGAATGAGATAAATAAGATACAATTTACAACAAATAAGCACATATTAAAAACAGATAAAGAATTCCACAGATAAACGCCCGAATTTAGTATAAAATATATTAAAAAGTTATATTAATTCAAAAATGTTAATTTTGCTCGGTGATAATATCCTTCGGCCTCCGGGAAAACACGTCCTCGTGTTTTAGAAAGTAACACCCTCAATGAAATGGTTGGTACTGCTGGCCTTGGTACTGTCCGTGGAAGTTGTTGTACACGGGGTAAGGGTTGCCGTTGGGTCCGTTTTGTCTCTCGTAATCAATAATATCCTCTAGCCTTTCGATTTCCTCAACTTGGTCGTCGATTTGATTGTGGAGATTTCCGATTTCTTGAATTTGACAGTCGATTTTAAAACGAAGGGAACTGATCTCTTGACCTTGAGTATCAATTTTAAATCGAAGGCATCCGATTTCTGCATCTCGTTCTTCTATCTCATCCCGTAGACCGGACAAGTCCTGATGTGCCAAGCAAAGATGAGTTGTTAACCTCTCGATTTCTCCGGTTTGCTTTTGGTTTTGTGCCGAAACTTCTAACACACGATCTGAGGTCATTTTATTGATTTTATTGGAGTTGTTTAATTTAATCCGTAGGTCTATCATTTCCTGTTGCAATCCCGGTCTAGCATTTTGTAAGTTCTGAAGGTTTGTCTCTAGTTGTGAGACTTTCAAGGTGTTTGCTGTTTGAATTTTTTTGACTTTTTATATGACCTTTCTAGTTGACTCAAAATTTTGCTTGAGTGTTATGAAAATTGTTTGAAAAGATTTAATTTTCCGGATATTTGAGTTTTTGAGCTGTAAAAATTTTGTTTTTGAAATTTCACAGCGAAGAGATAAGGTTAAGTCCACACATTTGTGAAAAAAATATATATATATATATAACAAAGTGGAATGGCAGCTCTCTAAATTGACATTCTTTTAGAATAAAAATGGAGAAAAGTTGAGCCCTGTGTGCATCGCGCAGTTTTGCAGATTTTGACTTTTTAGTAGGATATTGGCACTTTTTGGCGTAATATCCATACTTTCAAACAGTTAAAACACACCGATGTGGAAGGATATATAAAGATATACTGTTCCGTTGTCATGCATGAATTTGTTAACATCCATTTGTATTATAGAAATACAGTCGTGTTGTTTGATGTTGTAAATTATACTTGTTTACATTTTGTAGAAAATTTACAACACAAAGTTTGAACGTTCAAAGTGTTTATTTCCAATTATAACCAATCATATATTGTTTATTTTAAGAAAATGTTTTCTTTTAAAGCATATAATCAATTTTCTGAAAATTAGGGGAGGGTAAAAATATTACATAATATAATTGTCAAAATGTTACTTTAATATACATGAATACATGCATTGAATCATGCAGTGATTGTCATATGAAGATATGTGTGTTGTCATATGATTGTCAATAGTAATGTTAAACAAGTCACATAATTCACATTCAGCTGTCTAAATTTGTAAACTTATTTGAAAGTATCTTTATTTATTGAAATATTTTAAATTTTAATGTCACTCTCTGTTACACGTATACTGATAGGAAAACTACAGGGTAAACTGGACAGGTCAGCTCTATGTGTGTGTCTGCATATTTTGTCCAAAGAATTGTATTTATATATACGAGCAATAGCTAGGTTCAAGATAAAGGTCAAACCTTGAACCCAGTTTGAATTTCAATCAAAATAAAGTTTTCTGCAAAACCAGTAAGGGTGTACGTATACTACTGTCGTGTCTAATTTCGACTGTATATTTAACCTTGGGGAACACCTTGCGAGCAACAGTTATTTTGACAGTCTCCTGTCCAGTACGGTTTGGGATGACTGTAAAATATATACAACCAGGGAAAGCGTAAATAAAGTGTATTTACAAATTAAAGTGACCCTAATCTACCTAACCTGGTGACTAATAGAGTGATCAAACAATTTTCAAAATACTCACTCTATATCAAAATATATTAAAAATAGTATAAGCGATTAAAAATTTAATTTTGCTCACTCATAAAAAAATAATCTCCAACAAAGAAAATCTTAAATATGTCATAAAAATAAAATCCAAAATCTTTTAACAATTAAACATATGCCTTATACTGTACACTTTAAAATAATTTATTCCTAACCTTATAAACGAAAAATAAAAGATTAATAAATAAATCTCGAAAGCTCAAATTTTTTTGTTAAGTAATTTTCAAAGAAAAATTATCATTTATTAAATTTAGTATCATACCTGTAAAATATATAAAAGTCGTCATGTTGCAGATTTTATTTGAAAAATAAATTATGTCAGAAAGGACACTACCAGCAGCAATCGTGAGTCATATACATGATACATGCATATGAAAACATGATGTGCATGCATACGCTTTTTACGATCTTAATTGTATAATTATATACTTGCATATATAAACAATTCAAATTTGTGTAAATTTCATTAAATTCATCAACTTCTTTTTGAAATCAATTTACAATTGTCTCAACAATAATTTTTTTTCAGAACACAATAAAACGATATCTAAAAAAAACCGGTTTTTTTTTAAATCACAATATACCTCCCAAGGTGAACTTAGGGCTGTTAAAAAAAAAAACAACGACCTTTTCTTCAAAAAACCTACTTCCCCGAACCCCCCCCCCCCTCCCTGGATAAAAACATTACTGCACATATATGTGTATAACACCTTAATATAATATATATAATATAATATAATATCTTATTCCAAAAGATAAGTTATGGGTTGAAATAAAGCCTCCATTCGAAGAATCAAAATTCTGAAAACTTATTTTATTCGTAGGGCATTTCAAATGACGAGTTGGTTAAATACGGTAAAAAATGTAGGAGAAGCTCAGTGGTGCCAAGGTTTTGAAGAAAAGCAGTGTTTTTTTTTTTTTTTTTTTTTTTTTTTTTTTTTTTTTTGTTGTTTTTTTTTTGTTTGTTTGTTTTGGGGGGGGGGGTTTGTGCCCGAATATCGTCCTACAGTGTGAAATCGAAATTCAGAAACTCTAGGCCTATCGTTCATCTATAGATCGTAAAATATAAAGCACTTCCAATCATTTAAGAAAATATGAAAAGGCTATTGCAAAAAAATAAAATTGGAGTTCCGGAAACTAGGGTTTTTGTTTTTGCATAAAAGGTAATTTTTTTAAACCCCAAATCCATCTTCCCACCTTCACTCCGAGTGAAAATCGAAATTCTAAAATCTTTCTGCACATATTTGGAAGATTATTTATTTTATTCCAAATAAAAGATGTGGTTTCTTTCCAAAAAAAAAAAAAAGAGTTGAGGAGTTCATGCAGAAAACAAACTTTTTAAAAAAAGTTTGATAGTTTATTGTTTTGTTTTTACAAAGTTGGATCAAATTCCAAGGTCAAGAGGTCAAATTCATTGGCCTTGTCACAAAGAGTTCACTTGTGAATTATGAAGACCATAACCTCGCCCACTCAAAAGTTATATGGGCAAGGTTAAAGTTTAGCGGATAAATATACAGACAGACAGATGAATGGACAGGCCAAAACTTTTTAAAATTCCCCCGAATTCTGATATTTATAGATTTTGAACACCAGTGACTCCTCTACACAAATTTCTTGGAACACTGTGGAAGAAAAATTCCACTTGCCTAACGACCTTTTTTTCACCCTGATTCGTGAGAGGGCAATCTATCATAATAAATTGACTAAATCGCCCGTAGGACAAAAACACAATTCTGAAACTATTTTTACACGTCTATTCTTGGACACCGCCATTCATATACCAAAAGATGTTTTGGTTAATTATGTAAGATGAGTTAAGGGAACCAGCCTGAGGTTTTTGTAGAAAAAACGTAATTTTTGCCCCCCCCCCCCCCCCCACCCACAAAAAAAAAATCCGTGGAATGAATTTATTGACTAAAATTTTCAAAACGGGGGAACTAGAAATGTTTGCCTCACAGAGATGTTGCCCCACCATCAACTGAAATACAGTAGCTTCCCACCGCTTTTTTTTTAAATATCCCACTTGGTCCGTAAAATTCTGTGGGAGGGACACACTTTTTCCTGACTAAAGTCTTTATAATTCATAGTAAATTTTCATACATATGCATAGCCCACGCCCCTTTTTTTTGGAAAAAGTTGTAGTTGAGATCGAGAACTGGCAAATTCCAGGGTTTGAGGAAATATGCTGGCAGTTTACGTCCTTTTGTTGCTTAATTAATTTCCCCATTTTGCTAATCAGATTTGAAAGTAAGAAGATTTTACCCACCCAGCCACCCCACTCCCCCTCTCGAAGACGTTCCAAAGGGCCGTTAATTCCTGCACATGCATATACTACAACTACCTGGTATTACTAGGGTAATGGTCGATAGTCAATATTTATCTGTTTTGTTACAGAATGGCCGATCTCGAGGTATTTAAAAATTTAATGAAATTATTTAGGAAGAAAAGAACGGATGTATAAATCTCAATACCAACTTGACTCGGCTCAAAGCGATTAACTTTTGACCTTGCTCATGCTTTTGTGTGCATGTAAAGGTGTATTCATGTATTTAATTACAGAAAAAGATACTAGATCTATTTCACAACTTTAAAAGGAGTGGAACATGCTGATATTATGCCAAATACTGTAGTATTTGATTCATTCGTGGCCTTATCTTTAAATGCCCATTTTCCATTGTTTGCCGTAACACACGTGTTTCCCTGATACAGGAAGCTGTGTGACGTAGAGGAAAATTTTCCCAGAATGAAATAAAGTACGTTGGTTCTGCATTATTGATTTCATACTGAGAATCATCTCGAGCGGGAAAGGACACATTCCGAAGCACATGGTGTATATCGCTCGTGGAAATTTAGATTAAACAAAACAAAATGAGTAAAACAGAGAAAAGTATTGAATTTGACGAGGATTATTTGAGGGAAAAGGAGGTTCGTGATTTTTTTTCTCTCTCTCTGATTCAGTTTTACATCAAAGTGCTGAGTTATCGATTGGCGCCTTGGTCCATGCATTCGGAGAATGCGCTCATTTTAATAATTTATGTGTATTTGGGTTTCAACAGTGGGAAAAAAAAACATTTGAATATATATATATATATATTCATGGTTTTGCTAGTTTTGTAAGCATAGCGTGCTTCCTCGGGACGAGGAAATTAAATGAATGAACGATTATACTTCCTTGATTTCATCGTGAATTTTTTTAGCATAAAAAAATGTAAAATCAGCAACAACAACAAAAAAAAAAGTATTTAAAACGTATGTCTTCTTTTGAACAATTTACTTTTAATGCATGATTGATAAAAGGGACTGGTTATAAATTCTAACCATGATGATAATTATAATGATTGTCATTAATGACAGTTGTAAATGTGAATTTTTATATACATTGTTAAATGTATACAAAATAAATCAAAGATGCATATTAACATGATTATGAAACTTGTAAATACACAATGACAGCAATGCTTGCTCAAAAATTATAAAAATCATCATTATATAAAATAAACTCCATGCCCAAAAAAATGAAGTTAAAAATATAGATTTACTGTAAACATGTAATGATCAAATGCTAACACATGTTCTAGAACACCCTGTATGTGTGTAATTTTGAATTACATGTATTATAAATAAGTAGTTACCCCCTCTCCTTTTCCATTTCCCTATTATATATATTTCACTTGTTATTAAAAATTTTTTAAATAACCAGATTTAATTGAATTTTACAGAAAGCTTTGGTGGATAGTGACACATCCTCTGCTGGTAGTAGCCGCAGTAGCTTTGAGAGTGGGGACGAAAATGTGGGCCGAGGAAACTGGTCAGGGCGCCTGGACTTCCTCCTGTCCTGTGTGGGGTTTGCAGTGGGGCTCGGAAACATTTGGAGGTTCCCTTACTTGTGTTACCAAAGTGGAGGAGGTATGTGTTAACAAAAATTTTAGGGGATGGGGGTACCTCTTTCTTTGGTCAATGATTTTACAAAGAACTTGAAAATCTTAAAATTTACTTGGACTTAATGTTTTAAAACTTGATATTTTATTTATTAATAATCTCTTTTTTAACAGGTGCATTTTTGATCCCATATGTGATATTCCTGATTCTTTGTGGAATACCTTTGTTCTTCCTGGAGATTAGCTATGGTCAGTTTGCCAGCCTGAGTCCCATTACTGTGTGGAAAATTTCACCGTTATTTAAAGGTAAAAGAGTTTCATTGAATTGTAAAAATAGTACTCTACTTAACATTCTTTTAAGTTCATTCAAAGATTTAGGGTGCGATTGATTGACCTTTTATACTTTAAGAGCACCAAAAGTTTTATTGAATTTATGCATGGCTATAAAAAGAAAAGTTCTTTGTCTGTGAAAGGCAATTAGATCTCAATGTAGGCAAGCCCCCGCATACCATAACATGGCACTCAGTTGATCTGTTGATAGGAAGCTCAGAAAAAAATAACATCACAAGCAATCGCTTCCATGTGTTGGCACCTTTCCACCTTTGAAATGTGATGAAAACACGTCATTGAATTATCTTATCTAAGAATTGGCCCTTATTACTTATTTATCAAATATTTCACTTGGCTCTTTCTCGGGCCCTTGTTTAATTCATATAATGCTTTAACAAGCTTGGCATAAAATGAGCTTATCATTGTTCATGTACTGTGTATATATGTTTGATTGTACCATTTTATGTATATTGTTTGAATTGTAGAAGGCCCCGGGGAAGAATAGTACTTTGTACTAATCATGTTACCTTCTTTAAATAAAGCATTATTATTATTATTATTATTATTATTATGTAATGCTTTGCTAGGTTTTGCCTATTATCAGCGGGAGATATGTTTTCCCCTGTCCATCTCAGCATGCCTGTCCATCCCTCATCAGGGGAGAGTAATTAATGCGCTTACTGCCCCCTTGCATAACACCTGCCATTTTCATTTATTCAGTAGCCATTAGGGAGCCAGTTTGTTTGCTAGTAAATACTATTATATAAAGGTCAGTGGAAACAAGCCAGTGAAATAATAAAAAACAAACAGATTTTCAGAAAGTTTTGTAACCTTTATTACTGGATATTTAAACATAACCCCTCGAATTTGTAAAGCTTTTACAATCATGGATTACATCTTATTGAGATCAAGAATTGCATGTATCTTTTTCCTTTGTTCAGAGGAAAAGGGTCAAGAACAGATTAATATGTATGAACTATGTATAGGGAGAAAACAAGGCTAACAAACAAGCCTGTCTATTGATTTTTGCTGGTTCTAGAATATTTCTCGTTGAGGCAATCGATGGTTGCTGAACATTATGACTATTGAATTTGCGTCGCGAACTTGAAAAGAAATGAAGCAATTACGCACATAGATATAGATAAAGTACAAACAGCCATAAAATGAGAAAAAATTGATGACTAGCCAAAAGTGCTTCATAGTTTTATTATTTAAGGTTTTAGCAGAAACACACAGTTTTTAAAAAACAAAAGAAATTTAATTAACAATGATATACATTAATGTCATTTGCTAGACAGATTAAAATGCCTATTTTGTAATTTTTCTTGGCAAAAGAAGCTTCTAGTGTAGTTGTGTAATTAATTAACAACTGTGTTTTAAGGTATTAAATGAGTTGTTTTCTGAGATTTAACAGAAAGATGAAAATTACAGACAATATTAATTATTCTTCATTTATATAATGTGCTTCTTGAACTTTAAAGATTTTATATAAAATGTCACAGAAAATGGAGTGTTTTAGGTTTTATGTTGGAGCTGAATAACAAAAAAAAAAGCAATGAGACCATGCAAGCTTAAAAATTCTTTATTTGCATGCAGTTGCCATCCTAGATTTTTTTTTTTTTTTTAGAATGGGTAGCAGATAGGTTTTTTTTTTTTTTAGTTTCAGATTTTAGTGAAAAGAATCAGAGAAATTTTCAAGGGAATAATTATAAATGTAAACAAGCAAATTCAAAAAATTGTGGTCCCCTGCTTTCGGTGTCTTTATGGATGGGATGTCATTTGATATGACATATTGTGTCAAATCTTTTGATAGGTAATGCAGATGTCAGATATGAAAGCCCTATCTCTTCTCAATCAAATGTTATAAGTAAGTGAAACTGATGACCCCATATGGCAAAATAGTGAAGATTCAACTTTTTTAAAATGCAAATTAAATATTTGTTGGTAGTTTCTTAAAAAAGGTCTCGCCACAGTTATTACATACGTGAAGTATGAAAGCCCTTGCCCGAACCGTACAAAAGTTATGTCCAAGGTTAAAGTTTTTAAAAATTAGGTCAAACTCCAAAGTCAAGGTCAAAGGGTCAAAGTTCTTTACATCCAATGAAAGGTCTTGCCACAAGTATTACATATGTGAAGTATGAAAACCATTGCCCAAAGTTCTTTATATCCAATGAAAGATCTCGCCACAGTTATTACATATGTGAAGTATGAAAGCCCTTGCCCGAACCATTCAAAAGTTATGGCCAAGGTTAAAGTTTTTAAAAAGTAGGTCAAACTCCAAGGGTCAAGATCAAAGGGTTAAAGTTATTTATATCCAATGAAAGGTCTTCCCACAAGGATTACGTATGTGAAGTATGAAAACCCTAGCCCATACCGTTCAAAAGTTATGGTCAACGTTAAAGTTTTTTCATAAGTATGGAAATCTCCAAGGTTGTCACCAAGGTCAAAGTTTTTGAAAAGAAGGTCAAACGTCAAGGTCAAAGGGTCAGAGTTCTTGATATCCAATGAAAGGTCTTCTTACAAGGATTACATATGTGAAGGGTGACAGCCCTAGCCCTTACCGTTCAAAAGTTATGGTCAACGTTAAAGTTTTTCATAAGTACGGAAATCTCCAAGGTCAAGATCAAAAGGTCAAAGTTGTTGGTATCCAATGAAAGGTCTTGCCATAAAGAATATATACGAGGGTTGTTCGAAAAGTTCGTGGACAACTGTCATATCTTTTTTATTTGACGTCATATTTTATCCAAATTTAATAGAAATATTTTAACAATAAATCCATTTGATATGTATTAATTTTGACAAAAAATTACGATTGATTAAAAACTTATCCAGATTTTAAAAATGTAAAAATCGGATCGCGGAGCAGGTCAAAATTTAGTCAGTTACAGACAATACAATAAATAATGTCTATAGTCATATTTTCTGTAAAATGGAGGAAAAACGAAAAACTACCGAGAAATTCAAATTAAGAATTGTTACATTGATATGTGTACCAAATTATGGTTTTATATTTTGCTTTGTTGAAAAGAAATCAACTTGAGAAGATAGCCAGTCATCACTGAAAACGACAAAAACGATGACGTCGCGGAGCAGATGCAATTTTGTGTTTTACTCGAAACAAATCATGAAAAAAACTCTCAAAATGTTGAAGGAATCAAGAAAATATGTCACAAAGTTGTACATATGTGTACAAATAGTCAATATTAGAGTGACAGAGACTCTGTATCGGAAGGATGACCTGTGAAGTAACGGTTTTACTGTAAACATCTGAACAAAACTTTAAAATTTGAAACGTAAATGAAAGACAAAGGCGCTTAGAGTTGCTTATCCTGTGAAAGCAGTGTTGAGTACTAAAATAAATCAAAACCTTAACAAAGGAAATTATACAATGAGATCAATTCTTAGAAAATAAATGTCAAATATTAGAAAAAGAATTTAATGAATGGGCAATGGAATATTCTGTGTGAAATGTATAGGTATAGTATCTATTATAAATTCTCGACGCTATATGTTGACGTTTCATTGACGTTATGTTGCTCCGCGGGTACAAAACATGTTGATTTTAAAATGAGGTAAATTTATTTGTGTTAAATCGAATGGAATGAAACTTCACACATCAACAAAACAAATATTTTTACATATTATAATGTGCTTGTTTTAAATTTCCAGTGAGTAATATAAGGAAGATGGACATCGCCCACGAACTTTTCGAACAACCCTCGTATGTGAAATATGAAAGTCCTAGTTTCAATCATTCAAAAGATATGACCAAAGTAAAAGTTTGGAATTTTTGTGTTAAAGTGGGTCAAATTCCAAGGTCAAGGTTAAAAGGTCAAATTTGGTGGTACCCGAAGAAAGGTCTAGTCACAAGGAATACACATGTGAAATATGAAAGTTATAGCTTCACTAGATCAAAAGTTATGGGCAAGGTTAAAGTTTTTGTGATGGACTGACAGACGGACAGACTGACGGACAGATGAATGAGATTTAATGTCCCCTTGCTTTCGCAAAAGTGGGGGACAATAAACTTCACTTTTTATAAAACCACTAACTGACAAAAATGTTGAAACTAACCCCCAAAAATCATCTCAAAAAATGGCTTGTAAAAAAAATGGGTAAGGTGCATTTTTTATGGTTAATTATTCAATAGACACTGCAAAAAAAAAAAATTAGGACTGTTTGCCACCTGTAGTATGTACTATGGAAGCAATAGTAATAATTTAGGTGAATGAGTGCATGAAGTTTTTAATATATGCATTTATAATGCATAAGAAGCTCTTGAACTATTTATTCAACATTTAGAACAAGGAATACACTGTAAGTTGTTTATTTACTCTTTATATTTTCCAGGTGTGGGTTATGGTATGGTAATAATCTCGGGCATTGTTTGTGTTTACTACAACATCATCATAACCTGGACCATTTATTTTCTGTACCACTCCTTTAAGGCCGTCTTGCCATGGAGTACGTGCGATAATAAATGGAACACAGAGAACTGCTACATCCGCGGAGAGAGTATTCTGCCCAACGCGACTATCAATGCGACACTGGGATACAATGCGACTGACGTAAACATTACAGACTTTGAAATGATAAAGAATAAATCCCTGTCAGAGCACAAGGTCACAGCTAGTGAAGAGTTCTGGCAGTAAGAATTTATTTTTATTTCATAAGTAATTGATTAGAAAAATTAATTGGTACCGGTAATCACCCCAAAGTCTAACACTTAATTAATCAATCATGTAAATATTTTTTAAAGTGCAAACAATATTCCTTTGCATTCAAAGAACCTTACAATTAAAAAGAATGATCATTTGCAATCACCCAATAAAATATATTATAAATAAGAGAGAATTCTTTGTGTCAAGTAAGCTGTTTATGACGAAAGTCTTGATTATTTTAGGAATGAGGTGTTACAGATAACAGAAGGTATAGAGAACCTGGGTGTTGTCCGTTGGGAGCTTCTCATCTGTCTGGCTATTGCTTGGATTGTTGTGTTTCTGTGCTTGTGCAAGGGAGTGAAATCTTCTGGAAGGGTATGTGTTGCATTTACTCAATATCGACAGCAAAATGAGATATAAATAAGAAGAATTAAGACACACACTTAGTACATGAATCTGTAAACTGATGATATTGCATAACATTTTAGATTTGAAATTTATCAAAGAAAACAAAGAAATAATTTATATAAATCTTGTTGTTAAATGTATGTAATCTTTTCATTTTTAGGTGGTTTACGTCACTGCTACATTCCCCTATCTGGTTCTGATAATTCTGTTTATCCGAGGGGTCACTCTGCCAGGTGCCGGAGCCGGGATTTACTTCTACCTGGTTCCAGAATGGGAAAAATTAGCAACCTTCAAGGTTTGTTTTTTTTATGAAGTTAAAAAAAAGACAAGTCTTAGATTATTTGTTTATTAAATAAGAAAGAGGATATATAAAATGAGTTTCCCAAAAAACTTTTCATCCTCTTTTTAAAATAAATGTGAAATGATTTTCAATTTTTACTTTAATTTTGTATTGAATTTTCATGCATATAAATTAATTGACTGGAGTTCCTTAAAGTAAAAAAACAAACTTTCATACAATTTGTATAGGTGTGGGGAGATGCTGCAGTTCAGATTTTCTACTCTGTTGGAATGGCCTGGGGAGGTCTTATCACAATGGCCAGCTTCAACAAATTCAACAACAACTGTTACCGGGACGCCATGATTGTCCCCCTTATTAACTGCGGCACCAGTGTGTTTGCCGGCCTGGTCATCTTCTCTGTCCTGGGGTTCATGTCTTACGAGACGGGGGTCGATATCGATAAAGTAGTCACCCAGGGTAAGTGTATGAGGAAGTTGTTTATTTTTGTTTTTGTGGGATGAGGAAGAATATTTAAGTTCAAGAGAACCAATGTTCAATAAAGCCATTGTTAGTAATGATATGTAAGTAAGGAAGTTGTACATTTTGTTTTTCATGTAAAGAAATTTCTGCTGAATAGATAATTTTAAGAAAGAGGAAGAAATAATTTTTGAGGCGTAAATGCATGGAGGAAGAAATAATTTTTGAGGCGTAAATGCATGGAGAAACGCAGAAAAAAAGATGATTGCTATGTTTGTTGTAGATAATTCTATGAAATATTAACAATGTAATATTTGATATTTGGACAACCAAGGCTTTTGCAATATAACCAACGAGTTCATATAAACTCTTGAGTGAAGGTCATTTGAAAAAAAAATTAATAAAGATTTTTGCTTGTAATTTTCAGGACCTGGTTTGACCTTTGTGGCCTATCCAGAAGCTGTGTCCAAACTCCCCATCTCCCCCCTGTGGGCTGTACTGTTCTTCCTTATGTTGTTCACCATTGGTTTGGACAGTCAGGTAAGAAATTGTTTTAGTGCACGCAGACTAAAAATTGACACCTCTTGGAAGTGATGACACACACACTATATACTCAATAATGAACCTGAAAGTACAGTCAAATCTCATTATCTCGAACTAAATGGACTGAGAACAAAATTTGAGATATCAAGGATCCGAGACATCCATGTTCAAGATATGGAAGTTCAACTGTACATTCATTTGAAACAAAAAATCCTTTGACATTGAAATTAAAATTTGATGTTTAAATGTATGAAATCAAGGAAGTCCATGGTGCCTAATAAAGTTCAGTAAATTTTTATTTAATTGAGAACAGTTTTAAAAGAATAAAATGGGCTTGCACAGTATTATGAGAGAAAAAAAATGGATTCATTATTGTCAAAATTGAAAGTGTGTGTCATTAAATCATGACCTGTCTGTGTTCACGGAGGTGTAGTCATAGCTTCAATGAACACAGACTATTTGGGCTAACGATGTAAAAATCAGCCGTGCAAATTTTTACAGAAAGGGAAAAGAAATAAAAAATCAGTTAAAGGCCAGTCAATAATATTTTTTCATTGAAATCAATTGTATTGGGATAAAAATTGTTTTAAAAAATTAAAGAGGTTTTGTTTTTAGATTAGTAATACTTTGAAACGAAATGAAATGATATGTCGGAACTTGTAAATCTGCTTTCCATGTAATTCCTCATAATCTTTTCCCTTTGACTGTAAATATTTAAAAGAAAGATTTTAATAAAAAAAAAATTTTAAAAATCTTTATCTATTTTGCTGAAATTACACGAATAATACACTATATCTCGTAAACAACTTTCCAACTCTATCAAGATTTTTGCACAGCTGATTTTTGTGTTTCATGAACTCAATACATCCCTTTCCATGGTGTTGGGCTGCTTTTGAAGGCAGATAATTTGCATTCTTCATTCATCTCTCATCCATATTGTCAGTATTTAATATCCATACATTGTAATTGATTTTAATAAAATTTAAAAGCATAATGAAATAGAATTGACTGTTTTACTCATGAATATGGCCTCGAAATGATCAAAAACACAGTAAAAGGGAAGTAACTCCTGAATTTCCCAGCTTTATGATTTTAAATTTTTATAACAGAGGCCATATTGCTGAGTTTTTAGATCTGTTGCATAATAAACTCTTTATTATCTAGAGGTATTCTTGCAGTAGCAAGGTGCACAGGTAAACTTTTAGATTTTTTTGTGTGAGAGAGAGTTGATTAGTAATGTGTAGAATTCGAAGGTATGTGAAAGATTGTGTAATATTTCAAAAGTTGTAGTGGACTTTAATATCAATTGAGAATGTTTCTTTAAAAAGGTAGTCAAATGTTTAGAACAAGTATAAATACTAACCAATTAATAAAATGCTGGTTAAAACTGCAGAGAAACTAATTTTGTGTTGACTTAATCTGTCACTAAGCATATAGTTGTTAAAATCTCACATTTAAAATAATTTGACAAATCACAATTATTCGTCACATGTGTTTTGAGATTTAACATATTTACACATCTTTTACATACCTGTGAGAGAAAAGATTTTTGTACGAGTGAGTGCATGAACAAGTACTTGAACAAGAGCTTTTCGAATATGAGGCTGTATTGTGTTGTAAACAAGTATAAATGAAAGCAAAGTTCTGTGAGAGAGCATCTGTGTTCTGTGATTGTCTGAAGGACTGTTCATGTCCAATTGTTATTGTTTTAATTTTGATTTATGAATTCTTTTATTCTTAAACCATTGGAGTCTCGATTGTAAATTGCAAAAATTCAGATAGTTTCTTCTGATGTTCGAAAAAGGGGGGAGGGGCGGAATATGGGTCATGTTGACATTTATTCAAAATTGAATTTAGCTACATATGTTGGGGTAATGATGGGGGGGGGGGGAGAGAGGGGGGTGGAATAATGGATGGGGAAAATGATAATTTTTTCATACAATTTATTTATTTAAATGCATATTTGTCTTAATTAGGGAAAGTGAAGTGGGAAATCGGTCACTCCATCAGATTTTGGGGATAAAAAAGATTTAATGAGAAACCTTGTCTGCTATGTTTCTTTTTTGTCCAGGATTGTGGTCAAATGTGGTTGCAGGAAGACCATGTGATCAACACATCCTTGTATCACCACGGTAACCCTGGCCCACTGTCCTATAAATAGAAAACAATCTGTACTATATCAACTGCCCCTATTTTTAATTTTGCCCAATATGCATGAGGAGGAAAATGTAATATTTTTTATCACTCAAGATATAAATTGGAAAATCATTTTGAATAGTAAAATTGAATTTTAAGTTTCCTTGTAAATCATGAAAATTTTATTTTGGTCTATCTGTCTCTGAATGAGTTTCTGTGCATGAAAACCAGAATTATTTTGTGAAAGGGGGGGGGGGTTACATAGAATTTTACGTAAGCCCATGCATATTGGGCAAAACTGTTTTAAGAGATTTTGTTTTGTTGTAGGTTTAATTAAGCACAAAGTTCACAAGAATTATTTTCAATAATTATTAAATGAGCAGATCAGTTTAAACATAAAATATATTTAAAATCTTTTTCTTCAAGTAAAACAGCTTGTGAACTTTACAGATACCACAATGGTTTTCAAGATTCATACACATGTATATCTGATATGATGACTTCAACATGCAAGGTCTTTGTAAATATTTCAAACTTGCAAAATATATTTTTTTCTTGTGGGCACATATATGATTTCAAACATGTACAAAAAAAGTATTTATAGATATTAAATTCAAATTCCATATACAAGTTCATGTAGTTCTTTGTGTTAATTGCCTTGTTTACCATGGGCAGGATCCAAAAAACTTGATCATTATAACCATACTAGCATATGCCATTTAAAAAATAAATCTTCTAATCCCATCTTTATAAAGACCCTGCATAAGGTATTTATTTCCTTTGTATCATTCTTAGATAATGCACAAATTAAGAAACCCAATCAAATCTTTATTGCAAAAGAATGCCCAATGGATGCAGTGCAAGAGATATTTAGCTAAAAACTGAATCCAGTGAGACTTCCATATTGGATTGAAATAGAAATATTCAATTTTCTTGAGCCATTAACAGAATTACAAAGGAAGTAATGACACTCAAAGCTGCCAGGCATTGTCTTGGTGTGAGAATCAATAGTCTTCTGTCGAGTTTTCAGAAACCTGTAGATTTTCAGTACCGGGGTGAGCTTGATGGCTTCTACCATAGAGTATTTCAGTCTTGTTCATCCCAAAATGCATGTGTTTGAATCATCTTCATTGTGACTTGTTTAAGAATATACAAGTATTCAGGATGCATTAGAATTTGAATTTTTAATTTGGCGTTTTGGCTTCATTTTTGGGAAAAAAAAATTCTTTTGAGTTACCAGAAAAAATTTTTAAAAAGAAAATAAATAGCAAATTTCCTGAATTCTTCCAAAAAATGACATCATTTTTATTGCAGACCTTCGTTAGTCTTTGATACCCTTGCTGTCATTTTTCTTTGATCTTTTTAGTTTGGCATGTTTGAGACAATGACCAGTGCCTTTGTTGATGAGTTCCCAGGGCTTTTGAAGAACAGAAAAGTTCTCTTCACAGCATTCTTCTGCTTCATTGAATTTCTTCTGGGTATACCGTGCATCATGGAGGTGAGTGAACTGCCGAGAGAAATGAGAATTAAAAAAAATACGTTCTTCTGAATGAGGTGAAACAGATGTGAATTGCGTATTTTTTCAAGATTTATTATTATACTCTACATTGAATGGAAATATAATTTTAGCACAGTTTAGAGATTTGAAGTCCATGTTTCTAGAAAAAACTGTTGAAAAGAAAAATAAGAGTTTTGTGAAGAAAAATTAAATTTAAAAGAAAACATCTTTCTTATACATGTACCATTTTCTCTTAATATCCTTGACATTATATTCTGATTTTTGTGGTAAATCAAGAGCTTATATTGGCTATGCCTGCTGCCTAATCCATTTATATCGTAGTACACAATGAAATATGTTCAAATAACATTTTTCTTCTAACAGGGAGGGATCTATGTGCTCCAGATCATGGACTGGTACTGTGCTACCTTCTCTCTGATGTTACTATCCCTGACTGAATGTGTCGTTATTGCCTGGATTTATGGTAAGTTTAATGGAAATATTTCAATAATTATAATTTTTAAAAAAAAAAGAGAGGAGGATAAATAACAAAAATAACTAAAAAATTCTGTATTTGATTAAAACAGAAAAGTAGCTTTAAGTTATGCTGTTGCCTTTTTTGCCCCCCCCCCAAAAAAAAATTTATCAGTGATTGGAATTACCATGAGTTAGCAGTAATATGATTTGTTGGATTGATAAAAGGTGTCTTTTTCCCCCCTATGTAGGTGCTGATAGATTCTACAAGGATATTGAACTGATGATCGGTTATCAGCCTGGCATCTGGTGGAAGATTTGCTGGAAGTTCATCACCCCCATCACCATCACTGTAAGTTCAAGGAATTCTTGTTCTTGGTTAACCTTTCTGTATTCAGATGATTTAAATTGATCCTAAATGATTAGATCTAATACAGTGAGAACTGTCAAAGTGGTATGTGAACTATTTTGAATGAATTGATTGTTTTGATTTGAGTTTGAATGTAAACTTTCTACATTTTCAAAATTTCTGGAATTTCTACATGCTCTGAATTCCTTCTTTGTTATGACAACATGTCATTGTAACCATATCATACTTAAATAAATGCATCTTTTTTGTCTCTTTATACAGTTCATATGGTTGTTCAGTGTGACCCAGTTAAGTCCGGTGACCTACGGAGATTATGAATACCCAGATGGAGCCATTGTCTTTGGTTGGATGCTGGGACTTGTGTCTCTGGTACCTGTCCCTGTGTGTGCACTGATCGCCATTTTACGAGAGGAGGGCAATTTATTACAAGTAAGTGTACTGGTTAACTCATCAGTTTTAGCACTAAAGCCTCACTAATATCTACTTTTGGATTTTTGCAGAAAGAAATTTAATATTCCTCTGTGCTTATAGTGTGGCTTTGAAATTTTTCCATGTCAAAGATATGCATGAAAAAATCTAATGAGAGCACGATAAAATCTTAAGTGAATTTCATTGGTAATTGGTTCCAAAAAGTAGGTCGCCTGACCGCAAGGATTAAGAAGTTATAGCCAAATATGGAAAAATCCTTTCCGTCCGTCTAACAGGAAAACCATAAGACTTACAATCACAAATTTTCAGTTTTTTTATGCATAATTTTTTTTAAGGTGTGCCCAATCAGGTTCAAAGGTCACTGTGACCTTTAATTTAAGTGAAATTTTAAAAAAAAATGTTTTTTTCTAAGTTTATTTCACATCCCAAATAATGTGGTATTGCAGTCCTTATTAAAAAAGTGTTAAATAGAAAATACATATTTTTTTAGCATATACATAAGAATGCAATCTATAACAAATATAAAGAGAGAGAAATCCTACCTCTACCATTGTAAACTGGGAAGGCTGTGCAATTTTTCCTTTGGGAATAATTAACCTTCACATTAGAGAGAAATTAAGCATTATCTTTATCTGTCACATTGAGATTAATTACTGTAATGAACTGTCTGCAATGAACTTTGTTTTGAAGTTAAGGTCAATTTTGAATGATGTGTACATTCTTTGAAATATGGATTTAAAATAATGTTCATACTTTATATTGGTTAAGATACTGATATTACACAACAATTTAACATAATTTAATTATTTTATTGAATTCTAAAATCAATGATATATATTAAGATATCCTTTTTTATTATTACTATTTTATTTTTTAATTATTTTTTTAAAAAAAATTTTTTTTTTTGCTGCCTTAATGCTGTTAATTTTAACAGGTAATCCAGTTAAAGACCCCATTAATGTTCAATGTGAAAAAAGTTCTTATTGTAAATTTATATAGAAGAAAGGGCTGGAGTTTATAACATATGTCATTTGATGGCCAGCCTTTTCTTTTCAAAATTAATTTGCTTGTGCAGAAAATTTAGAGGTTAATTTGATGATGTCATGTGAAGATTAACACAACACCTTTGTCTGCAACTGATGTTAATGTTTTATAGTTGAGGTACATCACCTGGGTGATATTTGCATTCATTGAAATCTTGCATTTTATAAAACACCTGCTTAAATCTTTTTTAAATGCACATTTTTTTAGTATTTTTTTTTAATAAGAAATGGGGTTTTCCCTGTTTTATGTTAATACAAGGTTACTATTTAACAGGTTTTTGGAATTCAGGAGATTATCTTGAAATTTTAAAAATACAGTTGTTACATATAATTTTAATATATTAAAAAAATTGTAATCAATAAGTAAAACTCTCATTCAATCCACTGCACCATTGTAAGCAATTTGTCTTCCTGTGGTGAAAAAGCTGAGAGGTCAGTTTTCAAAAATAATGTTTTAATCCTTTTCCAGATTAGAATTGTTTAAAAGGCAACAACAAAATTTTCTTTTTATCCTCTGATTCTACTTTTCCTGTGGCTAAAAAGATGGAGAACAAAATTTTCTCATTTTATAGCGAATTAGATTCTACTTTTCCATTTAATCATTATGAATCAAAACAAAATTTTCTCATTTTATAGCGAATTAGATTCTACTTTTCCATTTAATCATTATGAATCAAAACAAAATTTTCTCATTTTATAGCGAATCAAGAAGTTGGTCCACCACACAGATGATTGGGGTCCAGCCGTGGAGAAACACCGAGTCCGATATCTACAGTCGTTACAGGACTCTCAGGAATCCCTGGACTCTGTCGTTTGTACGCCTCTCGTAGATATCAAACACAGCACCGCAAATCCACAGTCCTGAAGTTGTTTGTAATTAGGACATTTTCTAGGATTTGTTGAGGAGTGTCGTTGTTTGTGTGATTTGTGAGTAGACAAAGTCAGATCTGGGTGAGATGGACACGGTTCCAGATGGATGCGTTCGATCGAAATCCAGACATAATGCACAGATCACAGGGACCAAAATGTGACAGCGGAATGCAATTCAAGGATTGCAGCAGAATGTGCAGTAAAATTATACTTTGTGATCGAGACTTCAAATCTGGCCGAGATATGCAAAGCCAAACTGTTTAGTTCAGTTGTGTCTTATTTGAAAGTTTTATTTGTTGTTAAAACAAAACTGGAATTTTTTTTATAAAGGATGACATAGAATAAGCTTCATTCATTGCAGTCTTTGAATTAAATAAGGGTTTGAAAATTTTCAAAAATTTGAAGAAAAATTATGAATATTTGGGGAAAATAGTTTGAGGTTGATTTCTGCAACAAATGCTTAAACTTGCCGAAATTCTTAATTTTTTTTTTTATTTCAGCAAAGATATAATAATTTTATGGAGAGATTTTAATAGTTGATGACCAATTTTGTTTTATGTATTGTGATTTCTTTTGAATCATTTGAATTTCTTGATCTCGTTTGGGTAAAAGTAATTTTAGTGTGTTTATTTGAAATCATTTCAATATTGTAGTTATAAAAATCTGATATCCCTAGTCCTTTTATTGAATTATTATTATCTAGAAATATATTTTTATAAATTCATGTGTTTGACCACTTAACATTTTATAAATTTGGCTCTTTTGTTAAGGTCAGATGAGATGTTCGTCAAGATCTGTTTTGTATATCTTCGTAGTGTATGAAAAATATTCAAAATTTTAATTACATTCTGATTTCTAAACCAGTTTCTAATCGTCTTTTAAAAATCCAAACACTTAAACATTTGAAATTGGAAATTATTTTTCTTCCCAAAAGGATTATATAAGAAAAACTACCCTGTGTTTTGTATTTTCTTGCAGAAATGCCTGGAAATAAGGTCAACAATCAATTTTTTCAATGACAAAATCTTAGAAATTTTTATATATTATTATTATTAAGGAACGTCTCGTCTGTCCTTAATGGATTGTACTTTTTGTTTTAAAGAATAATTTATTTTTTGCTATGTGTTCAAAAACTCATCCAATAGAATTTGTTATTGATGATACCTCACAATTTCATGTTTTTAATATAAAACTGAAATTTGAATTTTATTGTTGTGTGTTGTTCATGCCATGTTGAAGATCTTTTTTTATTATGCCAAATTAACTCCTATTCTTATTGGAATTTCCTGAAAAGTGAGAATTATTGTACTAGCCACTGATACTAAAGCCTGGCCACAAGAATCCTTAAAAAGTATAAGCCATGTCTGTTAAAAAAGTGCTGCAATGCCATATCTTTAAAATATTTGTTTGACCATTTCCAAACTAGGTTTAAAATTATTAGGTGAATACTTAGGTGGGAAAGTTTTTTCCCCAAAAAATGTTCTGCTGAGTTTTCAACAGCCACAAATTGAAGGTATTCATTTGATAAAATTTTGTTGGGAGTTACAATATTGCATTTTGACTCGGGTGAATCATCAACATAAATGGGATTTTTAAAATGTCACTTCATTCCTGGACATCAAGCTGTTGAACTATTGGAATGAATGTAATAAGCATTTAGCCCTCTCTATTCCAAAATTGGGAAACTCATGCCATGTCTACAGGCCACTGGGGGACTGGTGCTAAGGTGGGGCTCTGTTGAACATTATAGTGAAAGAACATTTTTGTTTAAAAATCTCAACTGCTCCCTGCCTGAGTCCCATGGCCTTAGCAAACAAACCTAATGGATAGTTATAATGCCCGAAGGTGTCTCCAAAAGTTGTGAAATGAGAGGTTTAGGGTCCAGTGAGAGGAGGGGGGACTTTAGTGATTACGTATCAAATGCAGTATTTCTGTCATATTTACCTGACGCTTTTCTTCTGGGTAAACAGACTAAAAGTATAGTTATAATAAGCAAGGGTGCCTCTTTCTACATTGTGAATTTCATGACATCTAGTTCAAAACTTGAACTCAATTAAATTGTGGGAAACTTGTTTCCTGAGTATAAGACCTGTATGTAAGATATCATACTAAGGTCGACAACTCTTAAATCAAAAACATTAACTTAAGGACATACGCAACGCACTTGATAATTTTTCAAGATATTCCTAAATTAAGATTATAGTGTCATCGGATGTTCATAGACAAAAAAATCAGCATGCATTAACAGTTTTTAGCTCACCTGAGCCGAAGGCTCAAGTGAGCTTTTCTGATCAAATTTTGTCCGGTGTCCGTCTGTCTGTCTAGCTGTCCGCCTGTCTGTAAACTTTTCACATTTTCGACTTCTTCTCAAGAACCACTGAGCCAATTTCAACCAAACTTGCCACAAAGCATCCTTGGGTGAAGGGGATTCAAGTTTATTCAAATAAAGGGCCATGCCCTCATTCAAGGGGAGATAATTGGGAATTAATGAAAATTTGGTGGTATGTTTTAAAAATCTTCTTCTCAAGAACCACTGTGCCAGGAAAGATGAAACTTGTGGGGAAACATCCTCAGGTAGTGTAGATTCAAGTTTGTTCAAATCATGACCCCCCGGGGTAGGGCGGGGCCACAATGGCCAACCAAAGTTTTACATAGAAATATAAAGGAAAATTCTTTAAAAATTGATATTTATATGGAAGCATCCTCAGGTAGTGTAGATTCAAGTTTGTTCAAATCGTGACCCCCGGGGATAGGGTGGGGACACAATGGCCAACCAAAGTTTTACATAGAAATATATAGGAAAATTTTTTAAAATCTTCTCAAGAATAACAAAGCCATAATTGATCATATTTATTTGGAAGCATCCTCAGGTAGTGTAGATTCAAGTTTGTTCAAATCATGACCCCTGGGGGTAGGGCGGGGCCACAATGGCCGACCAAAGTTTTACATAGAAATATATAGGAAAATTCTTTAAAAATCTTCTTCTCAAGAATAACAAAGCCATAATTGATCATATTTATATGGAAGCATCCTCAGGTAGTGTAGATTCAAATTTGTTCAAATCATGACCCCTGGGGGAAGGGCGGGGCCACAATGACCAACCAAAATTTCACATAGAAATATATAGGAAAATTCTTTAAAAATCTTCCTCTCAAGAATAACAAAGCCAAAATTGATCATATTTATATGGAAGCATCCTCAGGTAGTGTAGATTCAAGTTTGTTCAAATCATGACCCCCGGGGGTAGGGTGGGACCACATTGGCCGACCAAAGTTTTACATAGAAAAATATAGGAAAATTCTTTAAAAATCATCTTCTCAAGAATAAAAGCCATAATTGATCATATTTATATGGAAACATCCTCAGGTAGTGTTGATTCAAGTTTGTTCAAATCATGACCCCCCGGGGTAGGGCATGACCACAATGGCCGACCAAAGTTTTACATAGAAATTTATAGGAAAATTCTTTAAAAATCATCTTCTCAAGAATAGCAAAACCATAACTGGTCAAAGGTTTACTTTTGGATTTAAACTTTTCAATAATAAACCCATTTCTACTTTTTTCCTAGCCACAGTGCTCAGGTGAGCGATGTGGCCCATGGGCCTCTTGTTTTTAAGATACCGATGAAAAATCTTGGATGATTTAAAGAAAAATACATAAAAAATACTTAAAATATTTTTTTGATGTTTCGTTTACGAGAAAAATGTTTTTGAAGAAGTGTACAGCACCATAATTATATAGACATTAAAATATGGCACACAGTTCCTTCAAGAATTGAAACTCTTCAATTCCATGGAAAGGGACAAAAAAATTCAAACTATGTTGCGTATGTCCTTAATTATCAGAATTTCATATAAACTAGTAGTGTTCATACATGTACATACATGTATTATAACAGAGGGAAAATCCTACTCTGAGAAAAAAGGTTTTTTGGCTCTTCAGTCAGATTTTTCCCTTGGAGGAAATCTTACTCCGGAAGGCAGATTCCGGTGGAAAGTTGGGAGGGGTGATAAGAAGGATATGAAGATAACAAACAGTATTCAATCTCAAAGTCCATAAAACAATACAAAATAGAGGCAGAGCAAACACCGACCTCCAAAACATCAGAGATGGGATCAAGTGCCATGGAGGAGTGAGCATCCCCTGCTGACCGGTCACACCCGCCGTGCGCTCCTTGTCATGATCAGGAAATAACGGAAAAATCCGTCGTCAATTCAGTGGATAAATAATGGACTAACAATTAGTATGAAAAACGTCAGTCAGCATTTGACTCAATGATAAATTGTATTTGCTGACAAGGTCATTGTATCGACCATAGGACTTACGAAATGATGACTTTAAACGAGACGGCTGATATTCTTGTTTCATCAACTTGCTTATCAATAATTTACCTCGTTTTAGAAATTGTTCATACGCAAGCTCTTAACTCAAGTGAGCTTTTTCAGTTTACATTTTTATGTACATGTATCTAAACTTTTCACGTTTTCATCTTCTTCTCCATAACCACTACGCTAATTTCAACCAAACTTACCACAAAGCATCCTTCGGTGAAGGGAATTTAAAGTCTTAATTATAGAAGAGTGATTCCCTCTTTCAAGGGCGATAATTTAGATAAGCGAAAATTTGGGGTATGTTTTAAAAATCTTCTCGAGAACCACTGGGCTTGAAACTATTAATCTTGTATGGTTTCATCCTCAGAGCGTAAAGATCATGTCCCCTGGGGGTTGGGTGGGGCCACAGTACAGTGGATGACCAATTTTTACATGGGAAATATCTTTTAAGATCAGACGAAATGTTCCTCAAAATATATAATTATTCTTTCCTTAGGATTCTGTCATTTAAGTATAAGTACATAAACAAGTTACCTCACAAAAAATAAGGGTATTTTACCAGGCATTTGGACAAAATACCACAAGGTGGTATTTCTTATGTAACCCTTATATGGGTAAATCTTCTGAATGACCTATGGTGTACTTATATTTTTAATATATTGAAAACATTGTATAGAAATCACAAGAGAAGCATAGTTTTTTTTATATAATACCAAGAAATACAAAACACATACCGTATAAGTAGAATTTTTAGCGAGGATTTAATTTTGGCATTATTAGCGAGGGTGCTGAGGTCGCTAAAAT